AATTATTATATAATTTGTTATTAGGTGAAAATTATAGTCTAATTTATTATATAATTTGTTATTAGGTGAAACTCAATGAATGAAAGTGAAATTGAAAGAAAGAAGCGAAAAATGGCAAGATCCAAAGCTAGGAGGCTAAAGTAAAAACACTCAAAAGTTGTGTCGAAGTTCAGAATGAAGATTCAAGAATACTAGGGGTCAAATGGATACAACTAAAGATTAAAAGGAGAAGCCCACAAAAGACTCCAATTTGACCAAGGACGTGTGAGAAACTACGAATAGACAAAAGAAGACACAAATTAGGAGTTCTCACACATTGAAAAGAGGGTTCCATACTTTGTAAAATTAAGAGAAAAACACAAGATCAAAGAGGAATTCGTGAGAAGAAATACATCAAGGATTCGAGTTCAAATTAAGGATTGGAAGCGAAAGAAGATCTTGGTGCAAGAGTTGATTCTTTTCCATCTTTTTTATCAATTAAATCTGGTGATGTATTCGAATATATTTATTTATTTAATCTTTTTCATCATAATTAGGTAAATTCCTTATTAGGGCAAACAATGTATTGAGACCTTTAGTTCTTTAATTCAAGAATTCTATGTTTTATTCTTCCATATGTTGATTTTATTATAAATGCAATGTGTTGAATTACTTGATCAATAATTTGATGATCCATTGAGTTTCTTATCAATCGAGAGGCGAGTTTGAGACTTGGAATGTGTAATAAAATTCGATAACGAAATATAACATGTAGAGATATATATACCTAGTATTGTGGTCGTTATATGAATTTCTAGTGGCATAACTCGTTTAACTAAGGGTAATTCACATAGACATATGAAATTGAATTAGTTAAATAGACTCAATGAGAACTCGGGAGGGGTAAATTGAATACCGTAGGAGAGTAAGACCGAAAACTACATTAGGCTAGAATCATGAATTGTGAACTAAGGTGATCATAGAATTCGACTGAACACTACATTAGGCTAGAATCTTGATTTGGATTTAAGGTGATCAATAGATGAAGTTGTTTTGCCCTAATATATCTTATATACATGAATTTTTGATCCATTTGTGTTTGGTATTTCATCATAATTTTCATTTGTTTTAGGAATTTAGTTCATTTTAGAAAATCAATATTTACAACTATCACAAACATTTATTTATTTGTCTTTTATCAAATAGGAGTTAGAAAAAGTAGTTTAAGACTAAATATAGTTCTCGTGAAAACGATAATCCAGACTCAAAGGTCCACTATATTACTTGTTACAATATCGTGTACTTGCGAAATAAAAAACGCAACAACCGTCAATGTTGTTATTTTGCAATATATGACGAAAATTAATATTTTTCAATTTACCATATTTTACCCTATTTGTGTAATTTGCCCCCAAATCTTACATAAATATAAACTGGATTTTGGGCAATCAAGTTTGGATTGCCCAAAATCAAGAAGAGTGCATCAACCTATACATATTGAGCTCAAGCTAGGGTCATCTCAAGTAATTTTCATTTTCTGGTCAAAGACAAATTTTTTTTTTTTTTTTAAAGAATAGGAGACAGAAATTACAACCCTACCTTAGCGAAGCCCTATTGCAAAAATAAGTATGAATTATGGAACTCATTTAGTTAGAACCCGAGAGTAATACTCAACAGTACAACATATAAAATTGTAGCACGTCCGGTGAATAATCATAACCTGAAAAAATGGGTTTATAGACATGAAGTTGAGGAATGGGGGTTCCTCAATCCATGATTAAAAAGAGAGCCCAAAAATATGATAAAAGACATTCTACGTCTAGACATCTCTAACTTTGAATGATTTAGGAAACCACTCCTATCATGATTTTGTTGTATTCCCAACTTTAAAGAATCAATCTTGTTACATGTACATCCTGATTTACACAAGGGATCCCACTCTTCTCTTGACCCATTCATTATTCATAAGCTTAGGGTATGTTTGGTACAAAGTACTTGATGTTGTTGGGCAGTAAAATGGATAGAATTTTAATTTTTCTTATCTAAACTATAAGTATTATCTTATATGACTTTTCATACATGCCGCTACAATGTGAAATAAGAATGAATGTACTTTTTTTTTTCATTCATAATATAGTCTACTTTATGTCATTGATATTATAATGAAGAAGAAAGAATGTTCGGAAAGAATATCAATATCGCCAACAAGTACAAAAATTATCATTTCGTTTCAACAAAAATAGTTTCACTTGGTTTCTTAACGTATACATGAAACTCTTATAATTTCTCAATAGTTCCCAACAACGAACTTTGATATTCAGCACTATTAGGGCAACTTCGAATTGAATCGTCCGAACCGGACTTGAACTGGACTGAATCAAATCGAGCGATTCTTTTTAAGTTAAATATTCAAAAGAGTATCTGAATCGAGAATCGACAGTTCGGTTCTCAGTTCTTGACCAAGAATCAAAGAACTGACTAAGAACCGAGTATTCCTAATTTTTTTTTTATCTTAAACAAGCCAAATTATTTTATTTTTTAAAAATAAATTTTCTAACTAATTAATTTAGTTCAAACCCAAAATATAATTTTCATATTTCTAATTTCTAGCCCCAAGTCCAATTAATCAAATTGACCAAAATTTTTTCTAAATCTCTTATTCTATCATAGTATCGTTTCTGTTTGGAGAAATCGATTGGAAGCCTCTCTTTATTATTGTGAGTTTGTTATCTTCTTCTTCTTGTGATTTTAATTGTCAAATCTACGAAGAACTAAATAAAAAGATGAGCAAAATATGTCAGATTGAATTACGTTATTTTGGAAGAGTTAAAATTAAACATTTCATAAGTTGAATTAATGTAGTGTTGTTGTAAATATCAAATTTAATTACTATAGGGAACCCGAGAACCGAATGAAACCAAATCAAACGGAACCGAACCGTTCCATAATTAAATTTAGACCCATCAGTTCTATTTACTAAATACCAGAAAATTCGGGTTCGGTTGGATTAAGCATTATTGAAAGACTAAATAGTATGATAAGATCACTCATTCACTTAATTCGGTTACATTTTCTTAATTACTAACCTGGCTTTCAGACTTCATAAAGAGAAATGGTAGTTAGTTCCACAAAATGTGGGATTTTCTAACTTATTAACCTGGCTTCCAAACTTACTAAAGATAAATAGTAGTGAGTCCCACAAAATGTGGGACAATAAGGATGAGTAGTTATGAATGTAAGGCTATGTTTGATAGCCATTATTTTGCCTAGAATTAGGAAAATAATTTCCATTTTCTCCATTTGGGCTTGTTTGATAGCCAATAATTTCCATAGAAAATATTTTCCCAGATGATGACTCACCTGCTCAAATCCAAATTCCTTCAAATTGATGAAAATGCTTTCCCACCAATGTTTATATACAAAAATGATCTAATGGGCACCGGTGCTCATCTTATCCTAAGTATCAATGAGTTGGCACATTAATTCATTGGTGGATTGGAACTCACAAAATCTTTATCCACCAATGAATTAATGTGCCAACTCATCGGTGCTTAGGATAAGATGAGTATCGGTGCTCATTAGATCATTATGACAATTTTGATGCAAACGAAGACCAAAGGAACACAAAATTTAAAAATTTTTCGGGTGGAAAATTATACCAATCAAACACACTTAATTAACAATTCCCTACAAAATAATTTCTAGGCAATTACTTTTCCTGAAAATCATTTTCTTTCCACCCATTTTCCAACATCGCAAATTCGCAATCAAAGAAATTAAGTTTTGAATTTTTAAAACATCACTTTTAACAATTCCAAGCTTCGAGATATTCCTCTAATTTCCTTCCTTGACCAGTAAAAGCTGGCAACCACTGAAGCCAAAATCTGTCTTCCTGGACTTGGCAAACTGATGGTCAAACCAACCACCCCGTCACTTAATGCCACCAAATATCTTGCGTACTCTTCCTTCCCTTGTTCTAAAACACGTTGTCCCGTCTAAAAAATTAAAATTATCAAAAGGAATTCATTCATCTATTTAAATTTTATCTTCAACAAGACAACACATAATCATCAAAGATCCGAGACATAAGCAATTTTTATAAATAGGTGACACGGAGACTTGAAAATCAATTTAGAGTACGGATTAGGACTTATTCCATGTGATGAGAGAAAAAAAAAAATGATAAAACGAATTAAATTTGTGAATATTAGATTCACTTTTATCATTTAGTTCTTGTTGGGTATTAATTAAAATCAGATTTTTAGTAAATTCTGATGAAAATTGATAAATTATGTGATAGAAAAATTATGAATCTGAATAAATATTTATTTAATTTTGATTTAGATTTTAATCCACACCAAACATCAACTTAATGTCTCCTCACATGGGTATAATTCTCAATTTGCACATATTGTCCATGTTTGGTTCAGCTAAAAAAATTAATTGATATTTAAATCAAAGTTAACAATTATTTTTAATAATATATTTCTTGAAATCTATAATTTTTGAACAATACATTCCACCAACTTTTATCATAATCCACTCAAAATTTAATCTAAACCAAACGGGGCATTAGCATTACTCAATCAATTAGAATAATGCTAAATGACCCACATGGATGACCGCGGGGATGACCGCACCCTCACAACCAAGGTAAGGGTCCCACGTGAATAAAATAATCCCGAACCCCCATGTGTGTGTGCGCGGTCAACCCCGAGGTCATCCACGTGGTTCGTCTAGCATGGTTCAATCAATTAACCTATTTGCACAGATAGGTTGACAGTGGCGTACACTTTTCCCTTGAATTGAATTTTACGCATGCATCAATCTATATGTACAAAAATTCTCTACACGTAGCAGAATTGCCTCAAAACTTGGTCCTAGGACTTGAGCTTGCTTGAATATTCATTAGATGAACTTTCAGACGACACAAGATAGTTCTCCACCCCACTACGGCACCCCTCTCGTATGTATAAAAAGGCTGTCTAACCTCACATAATTCAAAAACACACAGGAACACAATGGGAAACTGTTGTAGACGTGAATCATCAATGGTTTGGGCATCCGTGGATGATGAATGGAATCAATCTGTAACGCCAAAGAAGGAAAAAGAAAGCCTTCTGATCAGTGATAACCATCGTAACAGAGAGGAGGTGAAGATCAAGATTACAAAGAGGCAGCTCCAAGAATTTCTGGGCAGAGTTGACATGGAGGACTTGACTACGGAACAAGCCTTATGCCAGTTAGTCAACGTCGGAGCCAGCGCCGGCGCAGGCGATCTTTCCCATGTTCGAAGTCAACGGCTTTGGAGGCCTCGTCTACACAGTATTCCTGAAGTCGATTAATGGTGTCTCCCCTTTCTGTATATTTGTTTGGATAATCTTTCTTTCTCTTTTAGATACAGATACGGTTGAGTTTTTAGTGAATTGGAGTTTTTTAACAATGTTTTCAGCTAACTTATTTTTTATCTATTCATGGATTGCGAGGATACTAAAAATTTGCACAAAGAAAACATAAAAGACATAAAAATTCATTGCGGAAGTACATTAAGCATTAAAATTGACCCAAACAAAATAAAAGAAAGGTTAATTTCTGTTCTTATGGCTTGATAATTTCCAGCTGCACTAATGTTTCTGTTAGGTCTGACTGACATCCCAAATAACATTATGTAATTGAAATCTTTTGAATTGTGCAAACTTCACGCTTCACATTTAATATCTCTTCCAAAAAAAGAAAAGAAATTCAAAAACTAAGGACGTGTTGAATTGTGCAAACTTCACGCTTCACATTTAATAAGCACTGATTACATGTTTTAGAAGCCTCGTTGTTGTTGTTTATTTATTTATTTTATTTTATTTTATTATGCTATTCTAATCGTAACTCAACATATGCACA